ACGAAATGGGCCATATGGACTTGGAAGCAGCTCGGCCTTGCTTATGACCTCAAACGGTTCAAGTCTAACGAGATCGAGAAAGGTCGACTTCAACAGATGCAAAAGAAACTGGACAGAATCCGTGCCAAACTCGATTGGGGTATCCCTCTTGAGCAGCTTCCAGTCATCGAGTTTGGAGACTTCCAGGAACATGCTCGCAACGGAAAAGCACTCATCGCGGTCGCTGGTGTCATTCATGACGTCAGTGATTTCATCAAAGATCATCCAGGTGGCAAGGCTATGATTAAATCTGGAATTGGAAAGGACGCAACTGCTATGTTCAACGGTGGTGTCTACAACCACTCCAACGCTGCCCACAACCTGCTTTCTACCATGAGAATCGGTGTCATCCGTGGAGGTTGCGAAATTGAAATATGGAAGCAGGCCCAGAGATAGAACAAGGACATTTTGGTAAGCCCTGCCAATCCCCAATGTCACATTATGGTCCACATGCTGACATTACCCCGGCCGCCGATAGGTTTGTTGATACTGATGTTGCAACGTGGATGCATTATGTTGATGCATGATGTTGATGAAAGGTGGAGGTTTTGTTTTGAGTTGTTGTGTTGGAGTTTTGCCTGGTCCCCCACCACGATGGCTAGGCCTCGACTCTATTTCTGAGTCTAGTTTCTATTTCTTCTTCCACTTTTTCACCCTGTTTCCTTGAGTTTCTAAATACTGTTTCTGAATTCCGCTGGAAGAACGAACTGCTATAGTAGGTAAAAAGCGCCAATTGAGCGATAGTTCTATTAGTACTAAGCCAGTATCACGTCTCACAAGCCACTGTAGCAACCCTATGCAGCGGTTGTAGAGAAATGCTCGAAGTGGCTCATCAGAACGGACTAAATCCACTTAGGAAGTGTATCGAGGTGGAGAGGGGAGCTGGAACACAGTTAGCAATCGAGCCCCCGAAGTTGCGCCTTAGGCAGGTACCTGTGATACTTTCCCGGATGTGGGGTCTCTGATATCCGCCACTTAATTTTATCCGTATGCTCTTACAATTCAAAACTCTATTCGCTATGCACGGGACCTTTTGAATTCTGATATTCAGCAAATGTACTATGATTGATTTGGTGCGTGCCGCGAAGGTTGCGCTGTAATTAAAACACCTCGTTTCCGTTTTGGGGGTCTTCTCACTTACTGCTTTGGTACTAGTGCAAATATTCATTCTTATTGCAGCCTAGCGCATTACCTGGCACCTGGGTGACAGAAAAAAGAGAGCAAAGATCTTGTGCCAAGGCCAATTCTCACACTATAATTTTCTTGCTCTCTTTTTTCTGTCACCCGGGTGCCTGGCTACTTTCGAGGCAATCTTTGTTGCTTCGTAATACCACTCAACACAAGTATCGTTTTCAAAGTTGGCTTTCATTAGATGTGCTGTGCAGGCCCACTCAAGTGATGTCGAAATCAGCTGTCTTTCATAATGCATAGTAAGACCGAATCACATTAGTTGCAAATATATAACTGTCATCGTTGGAGGACCATATTCTCACTCTACCAAAGGGCCATGTAAAAAGTAATAGCGAGTGGAATTGCTCGCATCCTATTCGTATAAGCTATTATGATACTTCATTCTTAAAGCATCACTTATGCTTCTTAGTATAAAAGATTCAATTTCTGCGAAGGATATTTCTCCCTTTGCCTACCGGTTGGGAATGGGGGGGTGGGGAAAGTGAACCTAAGGCGATGAGAAGGCTCGCGGCTGAGAATGAGATAGAATTTAGCATTGATCAATTGCTAATAAATTGGTTTATGCTTCCATGCCTGTCTCCTTGGAGTTGTGGTACACAATATTATGGAATAATCATGATTAAAGGTTTTGGTGAACTTACCTAATTGCCTAGCTGCAATTTCTTAATTGAGAGGAGCTTGCTGTAGTATTAAAGCAACACCCCTGGAAAAAAATCACAACTTTAAATAATAGGATTCGCTCTACTTTCTGCACATGGTTGAACAGCCTAATGCGCCTATGCAAGGCGACGATGAGGTTGCAAAGGCGATCTGAACCACTTACAAAACCGGCACGATCCTCATCTGGGTAGTATTTACAATGTAAACATTGGTAGAAATTGAATTCCAGCTGGAAGATGGAGCGGCGCAGCTAAGGTGTATCGGACAGTCAGTATAATAGGAAAAGCTGGCACCGGCACGAAGTTTGCAAAAAAAAGATCGATATCGGGTACTAGCACATAGGCCTTACGGGTTCGCCAATGGTTAAATATTGCTTCGCGAGTTTGAGGGATTATGAGATATTGGGTAATACATATCTTGGAAAACACCGAAGCATAGCAGTCCTCCAGGCCAATTTATTTTGCTCTCAATTTTTATACAAAAGTCATCCCGTTCCTAAGACTAAACATACGCCAAAAACTATATTTACAGGATTCATAATAGATACGGGATTTAGAACTGTTAGTAATGATTCTTACAAGGGTGTAGTTGAATAATGATGAGGCTTAGGCGGGGAAACATAATATTGAGGATTTTCAATATATTTAAATATTAGAGATAATAACAAGTACACAGCTAAAATTTGTAAATACACAAAAGAATAAAAAAACGATGAAGACAGACTATTAATAAAGCTATAATACTCTATTAAAATTAAACTGTTTTAAATGAAAATGATTACAAATTATTAAAAAAAAAGCAAGTTTAATTAATTCTTTAAGAAAAATGAATGAAGAATAAATTATTCTAATTTTATTCAATTGTCGATAGTTTTGATAAAATTATAAACCCTCAGGGATTATACTCAAGCTAATAGTTATTTTAAAAATAATAGTAAAAGATGAGAGTAAGGATCTCAATGCAAAGAAATGGGGGGCCATGATATTGGTGGATCGTTGGTAGAGGTAAGCTTGAATAGTTTTGCTCTAAGTATTGAACTATGCCAGAAGGCTTCCTTTTACACTTATCCAGTTGGCCCTCAGCTGCACGCATGTGCTGTGGGGTGTCGAACCTGCTGAAAGGGAACTTATCCCATGACCTATCACTTTTCACAGGATCCTTGTGTACCAACGGTGGATGATTGGGATTTAGAAATTAGGAGTATGCTGTCGTAAACCAGCCAGTCTCTGCCCGAAATCGGGATTATAGAACTCCTTCCTGTTATTTCCCTATCTATATCGACATGATGCTGTGTAGTTACTCAAGTGGAGTTAACTAATGGGATCGAAATCTCTATTCTTAGAGCCGCCGACCCATCCGGAGGGTGTTACTGGAAGTATGTGGTTCCTATGGTCATGGGGAATATTAGAATAAAAATTAATCGGCTTCCATACACAAGAGGTTACGGCAGTACCGAAACCGTTCATAACTGATATTTTTCTGCGGGAGAGCTTTTAACCCGTTTATGTTTCGAACGTTTCGGGGCCCTCTTCAGTGTACTGGCGGAAATGTGCGAGGCTATCTCTTCCTTTCCTTTTATCTTCTCGTTATGCTAGTCTTGGGGACTCCAAGCATGATCGTTCTGAGTGGCTACTGACCCTATGACGCTCTCTAATATGTATCTTCAATTTCTTCCCTGTCAGAAAGGACTTCAAGCAATGTCCACATCTCGGAAGCTGGAAAATGTATTGCTCATAATAAAAGCAAATTTATCTCTACTTCCTTTGGAATACTATTTATTAACCAGTATCCGTCTTAAATATTTCTTTAAAACTAACTATTTATTACTATTAACATTAATTTTAATATTATAATATATAATATAATTAGCTGCCTTTAGTACTTCTACCAAAAGATATATACATTTGAAATTGTATTTAATGATATTTTGAATAGCAACCTGATTAATCATGTCTAAAATTCTGTTAAACAGTCGATAGGATTTGATTTCCTAAGACTATTAAAGCGACATATTGGCACAATCGTAATTGCAACTTCCCCTTCTCTTGCTTCTAACCTGTATCGAGGAAGATGGATCAGACAGCTTGTATGGCTTGTCCTTGGCTTAACTAGGTTCGGAGGAGGTCAGACTTTAGCAAATAAAGAAGATATCACATATACAGAACTTCCAAGTGGATCATTCTTACCAATATACAAAGTCGCAAATTTCTGTACATTAGGGGGAATGCTGCGTGTTGAGCCGACCCATCTCTACGATGACAGACATGCGAGCTCCAAAGCACAAACAGGCAAGGATGGTGACGTCAGTCTGCGACTATAACGCCTTCTCCCACCATTTGCACAACCCCGAACTTCCAAATCCACGATTTCTTCGGTCTACATAACTCGGATTCCAAATTTGGCACAGCCTGGTATCTTCCAGAATAGCGGCTACAGATCTGGGACGTATTATAGCACCCATACATAATGGTATATACTCTGTTCTTGGGCCTACAAAGCATGCATAGAGGCTAACCCTTCAACTCGGTGAATGTAGCTTAGAGATAAAGAGGCAAAAGAGGGCGAAAATGGTACAAAATATCCCAATTCTACTACAGTTACCCGTACATAAAGGCGTCTACTAATACAGTTTCCTACTTTCTGAATAGGCTCCATCTATTCCGTCTCCGGGTACGTGGAAAGCGCTAGTCTATCAGAGACGGTATTATGAGGTAAAGGGCCAGTACTGACTGAATAAGCAGGCCTGTCATAGTCGCGGAGAACATGATCGGATGTGCTATGTACGAGCTTGTATGCCACTATTACTGCCATGCACTCAACTGGGGATGGAATGAAGGGCTAATAGGCAGTCTAGGTACGAGTTGGACACGACTGTTTGATGGGCGAAGTCATTAGGATAGAAGCGGACAAGGCGACCATCCAGGTTTACGAGGAGACTGGTATGTTCTGTCGAATGTCCATATCCGTGATATGGGTTGCTGATGGTCGCTACCGAGACAGCCGGTGTCACTGTCGGCGATCCAGTGCTGAGAACCGGAAAGCCACTATCCGTCGAACTCGGTCCTGGGTTAATGGAAAACATCTACGACGGTATTCAACGTCCGTTAAAGGCTATTCAAAAGCAATCCGACAGCATCTATATTCCCCGTGGTATCGACGTTGCGGCTTTGGATCGTGAAAGTCAATGGGGATTCGATCCGATAAAAATGAAGGTAGGAGATCATATCACTGGAGGAGACTTCTACGCTGTCGTACACGAAAACTCGTTAATGAACGAACATAACATCCTTCTACCCCCTCGTGCTCGCGGTACTATCACTTGGATCGCAGAAAAGGGAAATTATAATGTTACGGATAAGGTTTTGGAGGTTGAGTTTGATGGCAAGAAACAGTCGTACCCGATGATGCACACCTGGCCCGTCCGTGTCCCTCGCCCGGTGGCGGAGCGACAGCAGGCGGATTATCCATTGTTCACCGGACAGAGGGTTTTGGATGCACTGTTTCCGTCCGTGCAGGGTGGTACGACGGCTATCCCTGGCGCTTTCGGATGTGGAAAGACCGTGATTAGTCAGTCATTAAGTAAATTCTCAAATACCGATGGTATCATCTATGTTGGGTGCGGTGAGAGAGGAAACGAGATGGCGGAAGTCTTGAAGGAGTTCCCAGAGGTAAGTCGATGCTCATCATTTGGTGGCTCGCGTAAACTGTTGTTGACTTAATGCAGCTTTCTATCGAGGTCAAGGGACGTAAAGAGCAAATCATGAAGCGAACAACCCTTGTCGCCAATACCTCCAATATGCCTGTCGCAGCCCGTGAGGCTTCCATCTATACGGGTATCACTCTCGCGGAATACTTCCGTGACCAAGGCAAGGACGTGGCAGTGATTGCAGACTCGTCCTCCCGCTGGGCCGAAGCTCTTCGTGAAATCTCTGGTCGTTTGGGTGAAATGCCTGCAGATCAGGGTTTCCCAGCTTACCTCGGTTCCAAGTTAGCCAGTTTCTACGAACGTGCTGGTAAAGTCAAGTGTCTCGGAAGTCCGAACCGAAGTGGATCTGTATCTATTGTTGGCGCCGTCAGTCCTCCGGGTGGTGATTTCTCGGATCCAGTCACTTCGTCGACTTTAGGTATCGTGCAGGTCTTTTGGGGTCTCGACAAGCGTTTGGCTCAGAGAAAACATTTCCCATCTGTGAACACCAGTCTTTCGTACAGCAAGTACGCCGGTATCTTGGACAAATACTACGAGAAACAATACCCAGACTTCCCCAAATACCGTGACCAGATCAAAAAACTCCTCACCGATTCCGAAGAACTCGAACAGGTCGTCCAGTTGGTCGGTGCTCAATCTCTCGCTGATAACGACAAAGTTACATTATGGGTGTCCGGTTTAGTCAAGGAAGACTTCTTGCAGCAGAACGGATACTCCAAGTATGATCAATACTGCCCGGTGTGGAAGAGCAACTGGATGATGAAAAATATGATGAGTTTCCACGATGAGACCCAAAAAGCGGTTGTTAGTGGCATAGCGTGGAGCAAGATCAAGAGCAGCACACAGGATCTGCAATATCAGCTAAGATCTATGAAGTTCGAGGTACGTTTTCTTAGGCAGCTTGATTTTTTTTTTTTTCAAAATAAACATACTGATATGTGATACATAGATTCCTGATGAGGGAGAAGAGGCCATCAGCGGCAAGTATGGAAGGCTGCACCAGTCCATTTTGGAGAAGTTTTCTGCAATTGCCGACGAGTAGAGGGTAAAGTTAAAGCCTTGATTTCTGTGTTTCATCTTAAAATGCAAGTTTGGTCTGTCACATGAGGCAGTTGTGAATTTCTTAACCCCCCTGGTATGCTTTGTAAACGGACACATAGCTGCGGAACGTCCTTGTTGCGAGTAGTACGTGGAATCAGACTTATACGTAAGAATTATAATGAAAATATGTCTCTTTTCTTTCGCGTTTCTATGTGAGATGAGCCGTTCGACAATATCCAACTCATTTCTCTTCAATGATAACGAGCAGTTCTTCAAGTCTTCAGAGATTTGAACAGCTTTCGATCCATATATTGCTGTTGGAGATCTGGGGCATCGCCAAGACTAGCCATCCTCGGTATTCCTAACCCTCTTCAAATTTTTGATAGGGTTGCAATATTTTAGATTTTAATGTATATTTTACTATAGATGTGCTCTCATGAGAGCTCACGTACATCCGTTGTGTCGCACATGCAAACTGTTTAAGGGCATGAGGCTATCCTCTGTATAGCTGATATCTCCGGCGCACGCCTGCCCCTCTCTACATGAGTGAATGAGCATACCTTTTCCTAATCATTCTAAATCACCACTTCAAAAAAAAATTTCCACCCAGCTAATACCAACATACCAACCCAATCATATGGCATTTTTCTCTTATTATTGAGGGGCATCGTATCGGGTAGTCGTCAAATCTATTCAATCTCTGTTTTTCATACTATTTGTCAATCCATGATCGCATTCTGTCTGTTATGAACTTAAACACCTAGGATCATACTATTTTATACTGGTAAATGCAGAAATACACCTTTCATAATTCAGATAAAGATTCTGTGGCCACAGCATAGTCCACCAGGCTGGCTGGGCATCGTCCGGGCTTGGCTTCTAAAATATACAATATACAAAACCTTCTATTGCTACTGACGACTGCTGGATCTTAGAACTCATTGCTAGCCATCCACCAGGCGATACGAAACCTATGGGGTGTATCGGTAGTGAGTGGGTGATAATGATTTTGATTTTGACGGGCCTTTTGCAGATTGTATTTTAACCAACCTGTAGAAGCTCGGGAAGACTTGTAAAGTGTTTAAGATGACTTGTAACAGCATGCAGAACCAAAAGGCAGAAATCCAGGCGGCCAGAGAAACCCTCAAAATATCAGGGAATATCACATAACTCATGCTTCTCTTAACACCCTCACTTTTCAACACTGAATGATTTAACAGTCTAAATTAAACATCTATCTATACAAGCTAAAATCTTTAAAAAGCATCTTGATTACGGTTTAACGGCAATAATCTACCAGGCAATAGCCCTATCTATAAATGTCCGAATGGTACATTATTAACTTTGGTAACTCTGGCAACCTGAAGCCCAACTATTGCACTGTGATATATTGAACTAAATTGTTCATTGGGTTGTTGCAATCTTAGTAGTGCTTTTGAGGGTATTGGGCGTGGTAGTGGTGGTTCTATTCATGCTGATGGTGGGAACACATAAATTGAATTTTTTTTTTTTTTTTTTTTTTTTTTTTTGGCGCTGGACGAAAGCTTTTTTCTTCGTTCTATACGTGTTGCAATAGATATGGCGCAGAGAATAGACCTGTTAACCAGTCTCGAACTGTTCTCGTTAAACCAGACAACATTAAGTCGGATATTTGAACCGTTAACAGGATTTTGGGTTAACCAAGTGTGTGGGCCTGGCAGCGTCGGTCTGTCAGGCCGCGATTAGTTAACACAGGTTACCCTTCATTGCTATAGCACAATCTCACAACTTAGCCACTCTTGTGAACCCTGCCTGTGCAACGTATCTTACCTTGGTATCTATGGATGTCGACCTGGATAGATCAGGTTGTTAAACAAATGATTTGCATACCTGCACATACGAAAATACATCAAATGCATGAGACCAATACAATAGACGTGCATGTAAAAGAACTGGGGCGATAACACGGCGTGCTCGTTGCAAAAATTGATGTTTTATCAATTTGTGAACAGGTGACTCAAGGAGTTATAAGTTTTGTTAACAGGTATTCAGAACAGGCCAGTCTGCGGCATATTTTCCATTACAACCGGAGTGTCGAGTCCTCAGACCCCTGTTGTGTGACAAGCCAGAAAATGGCCGATGGGCTATAGTACAGCAGTCTAACAAGGTCAAGGATCATGAAAAAAAGGTCATATCTAATAAAAGCTGCACAGATTTGTTCGAATGGTGGAGCTCCAAGGCCCAAATAAAGCGGAACCCAAAGTTCATATCCGCCCAGACTAGATATTAATTAAAAAGGCAGACCAAAAGTTTACGAGAATACGAAGTGAAAACAAATCCTTCAACTGGCATGGAAGCCTCCAGCGAAGACTCAATTGTAGCATTGTGGTACATTGAAAAACCGCCTGCATTGCCAAAGCTCTGATTTATACCCGTTGCTTGCTATTAACAATTTATTTGCAGTAGTTTATAGGTTAAAATGCCTATATCTTCACCAACGAAGCGTAGCGTAATATAATGTTAATGGAAAAGCGGAAACAATGCAGTGGGCGTACAGACACTCCAGAAGTGTCACCTAAAATTCAAAGAAAGAGTCATATCACTGTTCCTTCACTCCATCCCGCGTCCCTCTCCCTTCCCGCCCTCGCATCCATTCTCATCTTGTTTCTTTTTATCTCTTTTCAAATTGATATTCCTCCAGCTACCAGCATCAACTTTGCCGCGCATACCAGAAATAGCCGGATTCCCGGCAATGCCGCCAGCCTGGCTCTTCGAAATCACGTTGAACAGATTAATAGTTCCTACAGAGCTTCCGTTATGCGCACCAATACTGCCGTCAGAACTGTCTCTTCTATTACGTCTGATAGCTTCGGCTCTGGAGCCTAGAAGACTCGAAGTGGGAGAGCTGGCGGTTTCGCTCTCGGCACCTTCGCTACCAGCGGATGGAATGGTATTTGGCCAAGCAGTATCTGTCTCAGAAAGCAAAATCTCGCCAGCAGATGTACGACGATTTTCTTCGGTGGGTGAACGGCCTTGAGTTGGGTCATGGGTTGAATCGATGGGATGATCGTGTTCAGCACTAGTGTCGAGTATTGGAGTCTCTTGCATATGATGCATGACAGAGTTTTGAGTGATCTTTCGCAATCGTTCGGTATCGAGGGCTCCAATGGTGTGAGATCCGGCTGACGATTAGAACTTGTTCTTGGCGATTAATCTGATGAGAGTCGTTGACTTTATATGCGTAGAGTCGCAATGAGAGGCAATTAAAATATATATTGGGAAAAAATATAAAAAAAAGGTGCTGCGGGGTGACAGCATTTAAGTGCCTCCTAAAAGTTGAGACGGCGTAATAAAGCGAAGGTGGTCCAACGAAAGACCCTCTGATGAAGATTTTTGCCGTTTGCCGATCCATTTACAGAGAGGAAATGACTCTTGTGATGCAAGGAGGGTTTGGATAATGAGACTGTTTCTACGCCGCTCACTTTTGATTGGGTAACAGTGTTGGGCTAGTTTCGACTAACAATCCGGGAACCGAAAATTTTGCCTCCTACTGGCAGGAATGCCTTTCCTGAACAGCGATGCTATCTCTTCCCCCGCTGCCATTGCCGCGCATCCTTGCCATTCCTTGTTCTTGAGAATCTGAGTAGTCGCATATACCGCGAATAACCAAGCACCCGGGTGACTCCCATGTTGCTGGATGGACGGGGCCGCTTTGAACAGGCACTCCAATCAAGCCCTCCGAAACGAATTGTCCCGGAGGCAGGGTCTCAATTTGGGCATGTCCCAGAATTGGTCGGGGTCCGCTCTATGACGAGGGATGTGATCATGAATGGCAAATGAAAAAATGGCTGCTTCTCTAACTTGTTTTAAATCGCAAGAACGGAGTTTGGACGTCTGAAAAAAGAGCGTTGACGCAGGAGACCCCGTCCTGTGAATAATCCAGCCGTAAATGTAATCTGGATAATTCAAATGCAGACGGGCCACCAAAGAAACAACATTAGCTATAGCGGAATACCGTCAACCCCACCACATTTGCCTAAGAAATTGTATTGGTTTGAAAACTACCATTGAGTTTGAATAATTCTGGATCCCAGTCTGCGTTCCTGCGGTTTGGAGTTAATTTTTTAATTTTAGTTGGATATTTTGTGTTTTTTTTTGTATTGAATGTTCGCTAGTTGTTATTTAGTTTTTGGTAGAGAGTAGTGAAGTTGTTGAAATTAGTGGGGAATTTAACTTTGGTTATTAAGAGTTCTTTGATTTTTATATGAAGATTATTTTGAAAATAAGTGATTTGAGTAGTGTTATTATACTTAAGTTGTTTTATTAACAGTTGGAAGATAATTAAGTAAGTATAAAAGAATTTGTTTGTTTGTTGAAGTTTTAGGAATTTCTTTTTAGTTATTGCTGATAAATTAGGATCTCGAAAGTTTTATTAAGTTAGGTTATAAAAATAATGTAGATATTCCAAAAATATAAATTGTAATATTATTGTAGATGATAGTGGGAAGGTTCACGATTTTATAAACGAAAGTTCACTACCCTACCCCGTTCCGGGGCGCATGGACTTGATCCCGGGCCGGCTTGGCCGGTAACTTAAATTAAATGTTAAGAATCGCAACCTATTCATAGAACAAGCCTCTGTATTTTAGGTGGTGTTATGCTTTAGGAAGGTTTTTGGGGAAGGAGGGTGAAGATATATTTGTTTGACTTCGTGGCAAATATTAATTGTGTTGCTGCTGTGGTAGAACAGCCATTCTCTTAGGCAGCTATTGCCGGGTCACGCTCTCTATAAGAGGCAGGCAGTAGCGAGTGCTTGGCACTCGCTACCCTTAACTTGTTTTATGGAATATGCTTTATACAAGAGTATACAATGCATACAGCATTAAGCATTAATCAACATAAATTTATATACCCTCCTTAATATAGATTGCTTTATATAAGTGTAATTATGCTGTACTAATATATTATAAAAATGAATTTATTTTTTATAGTATAATTTTCTATAGTTCTTGGCGGAGAGACTGAGTGTCTTTCCAGGCTCACAGCCTCGCAGACCTATTTTCTTTATGAGGGATTTCATTTAGGCTTCCATGCCAGTTGAAGGAGTTTTTATTTCATACCCTGGTACAATTTTGGTCTACCTTTTTAATTAATATCTAGTCTGGGTGGATATGAACTTTGGGCCTTGGAGCTCCGCCACGTTCGATCCTTGTGCCAAACAGAACAAATTTGTGCAGCTTTTATTAGATGCGACCTTTTTTCATGATCCTTGACCTTGTTAGATTGCTGTGCTAAAGTCGGTCAGCCATTTTCTGGCCTGTCACACAACAGGAGCCTGAGGATTCTCTTGGCGTCACAAGAAGTTTTCTGGTCTCGACACTCCGGTTCTAATGAAAAATACGCCGCAGACCGGCCTGTTTCTGAACACTTGTTAACAAAACTTATAACCCCTTGAATCACCTGTTCACAAATTGCAAGTCACTTAATAAAACATTTATATTTGTTAAATCATTCAGTATTGAAAAAGTGAGAGTGTTAAAAGAAGCATGAGTTGTAGGGTATTCTCTGTTATAGTAAAAAATCCCGTGTAGGAATCTAGCATATGCGGTGAGTGCTATAACATTATAATTCCAGTCTATCACATATGGACGCGCCGGCACACACAATCATGTCACAGCCGTCTAACGTATGGTTGTTAACAGACTTTGCTTTGCATGCTTTATAAGCCTTTTTGTGAATCGTCTTCCCTTTCCCGATGCTCTCACAGCAGGTTCTGTTAATACAACTTTCCATCGGATGTTTGTAACTTGCAGTTTGTGAGCTTTTTCTATACACAAAAACGCATTTCTGTATCCCGTGCTAAACAACTAATACAAAATTTTTCTTTTGTGGCTCTCGTACATTCACTCACAGGGTTTTGCTAAACCTCTGCTAAAACTTTGTTTATGACTGCCTCTCTGCAAGCCCTGGCAAAGTACTTTCGATGCTCATTCACAAGCCAAATACCTGACAAGATAAGTCTTCGATTGCATAGTATGTGCTAATCAAATAAGATCCACAGAGACATCGGCTTCAGCTCCTTATGATGAGCTACAAATCATCAAAATTCATAACCGTCTTTATTAGCAAAGTAGCCTATCCTGGTTGATCAGAATAATTACTTGAGTGAATGACGAGACTTTTACGAGACCAGATCAAGGGCTGGGTGGACTAGGCATAGACAAGCATTCTGATGTTGTGTTGTGTTGTGTTGGCACAACGAAGGAGGAAAGGAATTCTAGACAAACGGCTAACATCATTCTGTGATTGCTAACAGAAACTGCAGCCACCATACTTCTGGTTAACATATGTCTGTGTGAATCGGCGAAGAGGAAAGCCTTAACAAAAACAAGAAACGGGGCAAAAGTAGGTGGCAGGCAAAACAGGAGGCTAAGTTCGAAGAGAAAACAAGTCAAGGCCTCGGCCTTAATTTGAGACAGGTATATTTTTTGAAGCAGCCTTTAATTGGCAGGGGGCCAAAATAACAAAATTGATGCCTAAAATGAACCCTGTAACTCATATAGCAGCCTAAAAAACTCCTGCCAACTCTAACATCAAAATAACATAAAGAATTGGGTGTTATTGCGATAAAAAGAATCATTTAACCTTCACCAAAGTCTGCAGACCCTACTTTATGCTTAAACCCCAATAGTTTCTGTGATATTGCCGTTATGTCCGTGTTGAATTTCTGCATTCTGTTGGCAATACCGCACCGGCCGGGCCCTGTTAATCCCAAATTAGGAGGAGGATGTGGATCTAACGGATGCAATACCAATGGTATCTATTGGTTAATATCTGCAGATTTTTCAGATTGTGGGCGAGAGTAGGATATAGCATACCATCTAGAGTAGGGCAGTGAAGACGTAGACACATCATGTTATATGCGGAGTAACTTCCTACGAACAGCAGCGTGAGTTGTTGTGGTACCGGAATTCTGAGATAGTCCAGATGCGATGACACTCTTCCCCAGGCCGTGGAATGTCCGAAGCTTCCTGGGCATGAGTCCTTCCATATTTTCCGTATATTTTCTTTGTCGTCGGACGGAATGCTAACCGACTTTGCCTGCTCAGATACTCGTGTACGTAGCGACCAAGGAGCGATAGTTACGCAAGTTAGCTTTCTTAGTCGATTAAGTAATATCCAAATTAGTAGATCTCTCCAATCGTAAGAGTTGAATAATGGTTCTAGTGGTAACTTCGCAGCCCTAAGCGAACGGACAAGGGAGCCAATTGCAATCTCAACACATTCTGGAGCATTGCACAAGGGGTGCTTGGGTGTAGAGGAGGCATCATCCGAACCGGGCAGTATGTCGTTGTAGAAATCCGTTAATAAGTTGATAAGATGATTCATGGTACACGCTCGTTTGTTCCAGATATGATCTGCTCCAGGAATAGTTATTTGTTCATATTCTTGCTATTCTAGACTAACACCCGAGTGGTTGGAAGAAATGCTTCAATTTGGTGTGTATATTGGCAGTATTGCACAATCTAGGGATTTAATCCCTCTGGATGGGATGGAAACGAGATTTTCTGGGAGACTCACCTAGGATAGGACTCGGTATATCATCTGTAGCCACGCTAAACCCACTGCCAGGTAGCAAAATCGAGTTTTCATATAACTCATATCTCATAAAATTTGCCAACATCGTCGAATGTTGGTTGCCTCGCGTGTTGCCTCGCGTAAATGTGGTACCGATTGCGTATACTCAATAATAAGAGCACACAAAGGGGTGCCATTTTACGATACGAAATAGTTGTTATCCTGTTGCCAAGACATTTTCATAATGCAGACTACGTGTTGTGAAGAAAGTGCTTACGCCACACCAAGTTCCTGTCGATTGATGACTGGCTTGACCAGCTGATTTGGCGTGAATTCCGTTTTACAACATCACAATATAAACACCCCTAAACATGTTGGGAGGAATAGTGCTGGGTGCGGGGTTGCGGAGTGCGGGGCTTTTTTGTTACGTGGTGTGGTATAGTTGTGTAGCGAATGACACGGTTGTTGAGAGTTAAACGGTGGCTCTATAAGAGAAAACATTTTTACTTTCCTCTCCATACTAAGTTATGATAAATAATTGACGTTGATCTAGCGCACTTTAAAGCTGCCCCTTTAATTGAGATCTAGTCTTTTTGGGGTGGATATTAATTTTGGGTTACGCTTCGTTTTAGAACCCCGCCACATTCGATCCTTGTTGTTGTGTCAAACAGAATACTTTTGTGCAGCTTTTATTGGACCACCAGCCCTTTTCTGGCCTGTCACACAACAGGATCCGTCTGGGATTCTCTTGGTATCACAAGGCGTTTTATTGCATTTGATCTGTTAACAGAGCTTGTAGCGCTCTAACCATGAAAGGTAGCCTGTGTTGACTAGTCGCGGCCCAAAGTGTTATTCTATATCCCAGACTGCCCCATGACCAAAGCCTCAAGTTCCATCCCTTTTCTTAGCAGTAATCCCGCTACTCCCCAGTTCGAACGTTTGTGAGCCCAATGCAATGCCGTATTGCCGAGACCATCTTTGGACTCTACATCGGCTCCCTTTTTAAGTAAAAATTCCACTACTGTTTTGTGGCCCGCATAGGCGGCATGTAAGAGTGGTGTCCAACCAACGTCGTCCCGGGCCTCCAGTTCAGCACCTCCCTCGAGAAGTAGGCATGCTGCTGCCTCATTTCTACTTCCTGCAGCATAGTGCAATGGTGTACGGCCGCTGCTATCCCTAGAATTTATGTTAGCTCCCTTCTCAAGCAAAATTTTCGCAATTGCCTCCTGGCCCTTGAATGCGGCGTATGATAGCGGCGTCCGGCCGCAGGTATCCTCAGACTCCAGCTCAGCACCCCCTTCAAGTAGTAACGTGAGGATTGTTTGATGCCCCATTATTGCAGCAACCGATAGTGCTGTCTGGCCAACAGCGTCAGATTTGGATCCCAATCTAGCACCCTTCTCTAGCAACATTTTGACGACCATCTCCTGCCCAACCTCCGTGGCAAACAATAGCATCGTCCGATCACCGACTTTTAGCTCCGGGTTAGCTCCATTCTCGAGTAAAAGTTTCACCACTGCATTGTATCCTCTCTTTATAGCATTCCAGATCATTGAACGACTTTCGTAGTTAAATTCAGCATTCACTTTGACGCCTTTACCAAGTAGTAATTCCACTACCGCTCTATGTCCGTTCATCACTGCATGGTATAGCGTTACTTGGCCGATACCTTCTTGCTTATATTCCGGGCAATTTAGTAATAGCTCCACCACCGGCGCGTGTCCGTTTGCTGCGGCATGGGAAAGCGGCGTCCTACTGTCATGCGCTGACCACGGTCTAGCGTTCCTACGTAATAGGAGCTCCACCGCTGTTGTGTGTCCTCTCTCCGCAGCATACGACAATGGCGTTCTTCCCAGGACGTCTTGAGAATCTAACCCAGCACCTCTCTCCAACAGCATATCTATGATTTCGTCATGCCCTTCGGCTGCAGCGTATGACAGTGGCGTCCTACCGCCTTGCTTTCGCGCATCGACTTCAACCTTGCCAGTCGCAAGTAGAAGACTTGCTATGCTCCATTTGCCTTTTTCTGCCGCATAGGCGAAGAATGTTTGGCCCCTCGGTACCTCCAAATAGCGTCCTTCTTGGAGAAGCGTATTGACTTCCTGTTGATGCCGGACGTAAAGTCCGCTATACTTATGCTTGTCGGATTGTGGGTCTGCATCAAACGTTAGGAATACCCTGACCACATTCTCATTGCCGTTGGCCAAGGCTGCAAGTATTGGGAAACAGTAGTGCTCTCCTTCAATCTCCATTGTAGGACTGCGCTTTAGCTCAATTTTGCTTAAATTTGGTAGATTTCGCTCCGCAAAGATGTACAGCAGGCTCACTTTAAATGTATAGTGCCGTACTTGATTTACTTCAACATTATTGTAGAAGATTATCCAATCTTGAAGTGGAAACTGGTCGATAAAGACTTCCTGTGGGAATATACTACTATCTGCTAGATCAGCATGATAAAGCACATTACGCACTGCGTATTCGAAAAATGGAAACCGCTGCAAGGTGGATAGACGTGAATATTCGGACCAGGGGGTACCAGATATGGTCGAAGATTCCTCCACCCCGGTCTGCATTGGCTCTCGAGACGTAATAATCTTCATGTAGTTATAACAGCACTGCTTTAGCCGTTCATTACTATTCGGAGAACGGAGTGCGGCCCATAATTCGTCCAGTCCATGTTCTTTAAGCAGAAAATCTCGTACTGATTCGTGTATAAATTGGACAGTCCGATCCGCCGACTTTGTTACTTCGGCAAGCCCCTTCGAAGAACTAAGGACGAATCTTCCCATAAACTCTTCAATAATGTCCGCGGGATCCCAAGCACCTAAGTATTCCGGGAATTCGCCAGCTAGTATCGCAAAGTAGAGTTCCACCGGTCTCAGAGGCCGTTTTGCATATAGGATCCACTGAATACAGAGCAAGAGCTCCTCCGTATTCTGGGTATCTCTTGTTAAAATGTCTTTGAATAACTCATTCAGTCCGGTTGGTATCTCTCTGAGCCTTTTATGGATGGTGTGCAGACGGCCTGCATCATACTCTTTATTGAGAATCCGTACAACCAAGACAACCCATAAGAAAATCCCAGACGCTCTCTCCCGTATTTCGGTTCTGATCTCTTCAATTCTGCTGTGTTTGACTTGCAATTCGCTCCGTATGTATTTGACTATGTCATAATCATGTTCTTCTTATCCCTCCAGAATTAGCTCCTGTTCTTTCTTAATTGTAATATGTGGATAATGTCTGCTAGAGAAGCAAACATGTAGCTGTATTCTCCTTGACACAGCAAACTGATTCAGATTCTTAAAAAAAGCTATTATATTTCGAATTTGGTTTTCCTTATATTTATCTAGTGCGTCAATGAAGTATATCAAGTGTTATTGACTAAATTCTTAATATACTCTTAATGTTTGACAAAATGTTTCTTTGAGTATTCCGATATTCCTAGGATCGCCACCAATTAAAGTCGATGGTGATTCCATAAAATCAAAAACGCTTTGGACCTCAGGAACTTTCTTCAAAAGTTGATACAGTAATGATTGATATATCCCAAATATTGACTTTTTTAGGCCTTCTCCCCAGGTGTTAAAGAAAAACGATATAATTAAGGCTTCGTTTGTTATTTTCTCGGCGTACTGGAAGGTAAACTTTATTAAAGTTGATTTTTCAATTTTAGGTTTCCTTTTGATCCACAGGAACCCATGATGATTAAAGATTAGATTAAAATCAAGCCAGTTGCGGTACTCTTGATTTTTGAGAAGTCATTTATAGGTTTCAGTATGAGCATTCTTAATTGTCACCTTCCGAATATCGACCTGGTCGAATTTTAAAATCTCCATGAAAAGCTGGTGTTGCACTATAACCTTTTTTCTGCTGTCCCTCCAGTCTTTTGGCCAGGTCTTTTGTACGATGTTGGGGTCCGCAAGGGCCTTCAGAGTTTTCGAGGCTTGTGGTGCAGGGGGGATTACAAATAGGAGCTCTTTGGTGTACGCTGCAGCAGTTGCTACTGAATATTCTTGCTATTGCTTGTTCTTGTGTAAATCAGAGTAGTTGCAAACCCCTTGAATAGCCAAACATGGAAAGTTTTCTATCAACCCAGCAACCTCTATCTCAAAGTAGATAATATTAAGTTTTTGTTTTAGTCAATCTCTGGTAGTGCCATACTTCATTACCTAATTCCCTAATACAACCAATCTGTAGTGAACCACTGGATTAATTTGATTATGATGGGTTTGGGACATTAGTTTTGATCTGTTGCAACTGTCGCATATATCTTCTAAATCTTCATATTCGTATTCTGCTTTGAATAATATGTCCTGTCCTTGGTTATGATGAGTATATTTCGTCATATTAGGATATCTTTCCAGCATTTCTAAAAGAAAATCTGGGACTCGACTCTTCTCGATTTTGTTGTCTGAATGTAGCTTGGCAATAGCCGTTAAAAATATTTACAGTGGTTTAACTAATGATCTTATATGTTCAAATTAATCTTTTTTGATAATTTTACCGAAATCGTATTATAGCACTCTTATACTAACCACAATATCACTAAATTGAATATCCTTTTTCGCATTAAGTACTCCTCCACCTATTTTTACCATTAATTAGGAATTTATTGATGTAAATATCGATGATATCTGATCTATAACTGTTGCAACAGAAGTAGTATTGTATATTTGCAATAGTAAGTAAGCGATAATAATGTTATAATTGTTGATCTTCTCCAGTGTATATGTATTATTATTACTGGTGTGTTTCTTCAGATTAGGATTTGTGTGGACTTTGTCTAACATTGCCACGGCCGCAGCCATCTCAATGGGAAGAGCACACACCCATCCAATTGTATAGTCATCTTGTTAGGGAGGCTCTTGAGAAGCCGTTGGAATAGATCGTCTTGCATCTTCTCCGCCGGCGTCAACTATTATCTTTTTTTTAATATGAACGTCCACGGTTGCTGCTAGATCCTGAATACACTCGCCTTCCCGATGTCTCTTAGACATTTCTGACAGAAACCTGAATTCCGAAGTCGTTGACAACTATGCTGCTACTAGATCCCACAACCGTGTTTATGTGACAATCCTATCAGCTCGTCGCACTGATGTCTGGTGGAGTTCGCGTCCTTAGCACTCTAACCGAAATCCACATTTGGGATGGCCATATGCAAGTTCGTGGAGGTTGTTGTCTTGTTACAACTTGACTTCGGGCTCGGTCAGTCTAGCTTGTATTCGAGTCTATGGTCAGTCGTGCTTGCAACGTTTAACTACTAGACTAGCGGAAGTTTTTACCTCTCTTAGGATAGAATCGTGCTTGGTTTTTATGAAGGGTTGTAGGCTGGTTTACGAAACAAAGCTTTTGTATCGTTCGAAGATATTTAGAGACTGTTAGAGTCTAGTTTGGAGACGTGTAAGAGATCCGGAAGAGAGTCCGTTGTGCGTGTCTGGCGGTCGGAAGTGCTGTTTTTCTCGTAGACGCACTACATGTACGTCATGCACCAGCGAAACCCAAGTGCAAGGCGGCAAGTCAATTGGAAGCCTCGTTGAATCCAGATCTTTAAGCCGAATTCAGGTACATTGGTGGGTATCCGCATAGTTTAGAAGACACTTCACTGAAAGGCTGCTCTCAAACTGTCGATTATCCCGGCAGAGCGGGTGAACAATATGATACTCGAACACATGGTAGATTTCAATTCACCAGCAGAGGCCGAACCTTGTATGCATATCTGCCACAGCGAAGTAAAACTTTGAGCCTTGATGGACTAGCAGTCCTGACGAATTTCCCTTACATTTTGTGTTGTGTTGTTTAGAAACCTGTATCGAATCTCGAGCTAGCTGCACCCGCAGTGCTGCTAGAGATTCGGTTGCACTCAGTTCTTCAGTTCTAAAACGAAATAAAATGGGTATCTGATAACTAACTCCGCCCTGAAATATAAATTATACACTAAAACGAAAGTCTTGAAAAGGGTTTAGAGTCTATACAAAAACCTTACTCTTCCTAACTAACCTTTTCAGGCGGTTATATCCTCTCCTTTATTAATATAAAATCCCATATCCTCAGCAACAACACCTTTCTTCAACTCTTCAGGTTCAGTATCTTTCGTTCAATAGTAGTACATGTTATTTAGTCCTCAGGGTTCCAGATAAGGAAGCCCTTGCTCCCTTGGCATTTCCCACAAATAGTACTTCACTACACACACTCGTTTACTATGTAGAATCATGTACTGTCCAGTTCAGCATCCTGTATCCCCGAATGTCCAGTTCACAGACTTAGCTCCTGTCCAGTTCAACACTCTATGTCCAATTGACCAGTTCACAGACTTATCTCCTGTCCAGTTCACTTTGTTATTTCCTTTGTCAATTGTCTATTTAAACTGCTATGTTCGCTGTCATGTATTTAGAAACCAAGCAACAATTTAAGTATCAATCTGTATTCACACTAGTACACACTTCTTACCCTGTGACATTTGTGTATTACTTTGATACCTCGACTAGTCTCTATACGATTTCTTACAAAGTTAACCAATATTTAATTTAATTAAAAAAGTAAATTATAATATATATATCTAAATTTTATTAATATTATAAATTAGATTTATATTATTAAAAGTAAAAATCTTTACCTACGAGGTATGAGTTGTCCGGATGGGACACCCATCCGTACCAATGCCATACAAACGAATTGTGGTCTTGGCATAAAAAAGACCACTGATTCGAACCACTGATCCGAACCGCTTAAATTACTATTATAAGTAATTATGAAAATTACAAACACAACACAAAATAGAATAATCAACACAAAAAAAAATAGAATAGAATAAAATAGAAAATAATAGAAACAAATAGAAAAAAAAAAAAAAAAAAAAAAAAAATTAAAATGGAATGGAATGGAATGGAATAGAATAGAAATTAATAAAATAAATTAAAATCAAATTAAATAAATAGAAATAGATGGAAATAAATAGAAATTAAAATAGAAAAGCATAGAAAAAAAAAAAGAATAAAATTAAAATTTAATAAAATAGAATAAAAATAGAAAGAAAAGAAAATAAATAAGAAAAAACCAAATTACAAATTAAAATTTTTAGGCTAACTCCACAAATAATTCTAGCTGTTATTTTAAATAGGAAAACGGCGTATTTCCAGTTATTTAAAAGAAAAAACAAAAATAAAAGGCAATAAACACTCTAAAAGCTTTAAAGATATTTAGCATCATTTTAACAAAAATTAATATAAAAATTATAGTATTTACCAGCAAATTTATTAATTGAAAACAAAAAACTATATGTTCAAACCAAAAAAAAAAAATTAAATATTATAATAAAAATATTTCAAAAAATATATTACCCCATAATATAAAAATTTAGTAATTTAATATTTTTCTATAAATTAGGATTTTTAATATATAAATTAAAAAAGAAAACCAGCTGAAATAAAGAAAATTAGCCAGTTAACCAGTTGACTAAACTTTTTAAATAATAAAATATTAATAATTGCTACAATAATTAATAAACAAAATATTTAATTATAAATTATAAATTATAAAAAATAAAAATAAAAATATTATTTTGTAAAATTTAAAAATATTAACTAAAAAGTAAATTATTATATTATGATATATGATCAAATATAATACTATTTATATATTAATATTTTCAAATTAAATTATTAAAAAAAAAAAAAAAATTTGATATAAAATAAAAAAGAATTTAAAGTTTTAGATATAAATTTATATATATTTTTCCATAATAATAAATATTAAATAATGTTTAATTGTTGGATAATATATATATATATAT